GTCAGATCCCAGGGACAGATCCCATGACAGATCCCACAGTCAGATCCCCATCCAACAGACAGATCCCAGGGACAGATCCCATGACAGATCCCACAGTCAGATTCCAACCCCACAGCCAGATCCCAGGGACAGATCCCATGACAGATCCCAGTCAGATCCCCATCCCACAGCCAGATCCCAAGGACAGATCCCCATCCCACAGACAGATCCCAACCCCACAGCCAGATCCCAGGGACAGATCCCATGACAGATCCCAGTCAGATCCCCATCCCACAGCCAGATCCCAGGGACAGCTCCCATGACAGATCCCCATCCCACAGACAGATCCCAAGGACAGATCCCACGGACAGATCCCAGGCACACATCCAGCCCCGCTCACTTCTTGGCGATGCTGAGCACCTTGAGCTTCTTGCGGCTGCGGGGCCGCGCGGCGCCGCTGGCCGTGGTGACGTCCACCAGCGACGAGGTGGACTGGGACACCTGGCAGGGCGGGGACACGGTGTCACCCGCTGCGGCGGCCCGGTGCCACCCCCGCCGCCGCCCCGAGGGTCACCTTACGCATGATCTTGCGGCTGTAGAACAGGACCTTGTCCCGCTTGCGGAAGCGGTAGCGCGGCGGCTCCTGCGCGGGGACCTCTGGGGACACCGAGGGGACAGCGTGAGGGGTCAGCGTGAGGGGACAGCGCTGTCCCCCCGTCCCCAGCGCCAGCCCGGCGGTGGCACTCACTCTTAAGGCGCAGCCACCAGCCCAGCACGGCGACGGCCATGGCGACGACGGCGAGGCCCAGGATGGTCCCCAGCACCTGCGGGGGGACAGGGGTGTCCCCACCTTGTCCCCACCCTGTCCCCGGTGTCCCCAAGGGATGGGGACAAGCACAGGGGGTGACCGATGGCGCTGGCAGGGTGGGAGGGGCGTGGCTGTGTTGGGGACCGGGACACGCCCCCAGGGGACAAGGTTGTGTCCCTTCACGGGGTGCTGAGCAGCAGTGGGGACATGGGGACATTGGGGACACTGGGGACACGGGGACATGAGGACATGGGGACACTGTCCCTGGGGACACGGGGACATTGGCACACCAGGACATGGGGACAGTGTCCTCTGCTCAGTGCACCAGTGGGGTTGGGGACATGTGAACACTGGGGACATGGGGACACAGGGACATGGGGACACAGGGACACCGGGACATGGGGACACAGGGACAGTGATGCCACCCTCACCGGGAGCCGCTCCCTGCTGAAGATGGCCAGCGGCCCCCTCAGCGCCGAGCCCTGCGGGGACAAGGGACAGCTGAGCCCCCGTGTCCCCAGCCCTGGGGACACCGGGGTGACAGGGACGGGGACAAGGGACAGCTGAGCCCCCGTGTCCCCAGCCCTGGGGACACCAGGGTGACAGGGACGGGGACAAGGGACAGCTGAGCCCCCGTGTCCCCAGCCCTGGGGACACCGGGGTGACAGGGACGTGTCCCACCTCGGCCTCCTGCTGCGACTCGCTCTGCCCCATGGCCGGGGGGGGCTGCGCCCGTCCAAAATCCTGCCAGAAACCGGGAAAACGGGAAAAACGGGGGAAACGGGGAAAATGGAGAAAAATGGGGAAAAATCGGAAAAACGGGGGAAAATGGGAAAACGGGGGGAAAATGGGGAAAAACAGGGAAAATGGGAAAAAACGGGAAAAACAGGGGAACGGGTAAAAAAGGGGAAAAATGAGGAAAATGGGGAAAACGGGGAAAAACAAGGAAAACGGGGAAAAATGTGGGAAAAACGGGGGGAAATGGGGGGAAACGGGGAAAAATGTGGGAAAAACGGGGGAAAATGCGAGGAAAACGGGGGAAAATGGGGGGGAAATGGGGAAAAACGGGGGAAAGGAGCAGTCAGTGACACGCGGTGGCACCGAGGGACGCGCAGTGACAAGCGGGTGACACCCAGGTGCCACCTCCCAGCAGGGACAACCCCGGGTGTCCCCAGGGCACTCAGGGCCGTCGGTGTCCCCTCCCTCGGGGACAGGAGCCGTCCCCTTGCGACAGCGCCAGTCACCGTGCCAAGGCCCCCGGGCGCTGTCACCCGCCCCTGTTGTCACTCCATCAGTGCCACCACCCCGGTGTGTCCCCCGCTGTCACCCTGCCACCGCCCCCGGTGTCCCCCTGTCCTTCCCAAGGACACCCCGGGGAGGTGACAGCGGCACCGAGGCTGGCACGTGTCACCCCCCCCGCCCCGCCACCGTGGCCTGGTGACACCCCCAGGGCCCCTCCAGGTGACAACTGCCCCCCCCCAGTGTCCCCAAAAATTGCCCCCCTAAGCTTGTATTGCCCCCCACAATTTTATTGCCCAATTCCCACCCCAAACTACCCCCTCATGGCATAATGCCCCCCCTTATCTTTAT